AAAATGATAAAGTCAGAAGTACTTAACACAGAAAATAGAGAAAGTACTGTAAGATAAAAGTAAAAGTATTTGAAGAAATTTAAAATATACGAAATGCAAAAAAAAAGAACTACGAAATAGTTACAGTACTCCCAAAATACTTTAAATAAAATGTAAAATTTCAAAAGTACAAAACACAGTGATATAATATGAATTAAAAATTAAAATAAAATAAATAAAGCAAAATAATTAAAAGAGGATATAAATATACGATTAATACCCATTATATAATTATACATCCTCGCCCTAAAAAATCAGAAATGAAAAACATTTAGAAATGATAGATTCAAGTAGGTCTATGTAATATATTTAAATAAGAGAATAAGTTAAAAAAAAAACGAAAAAAAAAAAAAAAAAAAAAAAAAAAAAAAAAAAAAAAAAAAAAAAAAAAAAAAAAAAAAAAAAAAAAAAAAATTAAAATTAGTTAATTAATAAATATCACATTATTTCCTCCAAAAATGTGAAATAAACGGTTTAAGCAGTTGTCAAACGCAAGTAAGTAAGACACAGTGTGACTAAACGTAAAATATACTATAATACAAACCTTGAAAAAAAAATGTTTCTCTGATATTTAGAAATGGTATTATTAATACATTATTATTAATACAATTTTGAAAAGACTTATTCACAAATATGATGATTAATCTAAACTGCAGAACACATTTAAGTTTGATAAAATATACCGAATAAAGTTAAAACCAAAAATTAAATTCAAATACAGTGTCAACTGCAATGTATTCGATGTTCGAAATACGCAAAACTGTGTGTGTGCTGTCTCTTATACAAAACAAATAAATTGAAAGTATATGTAAAGTGAATTAATTTTATGTAAGGAAAATTAAATTTATGTCAAGAAAATAAATTGTATGTAAAGAAAATAAAATTCATGTCATGAAATATATGTAAAGTAAACAAATTTTATGTAACGGAAATGAAAATCGTGTAAAGCAAATATATTTTAGGTGGAAAAACAACGTAAAATCATGTACATAAAAAAAATAAATAATAAAAATGTACTAAAAAAAAACACGTAAAAAATATTCTTGTAAAGTAAATTAATTTTATTTAAAGGAAACAAAATTCATGTCAATCTAAATTTTATATAAAATAAATCAATTTTATATAAAGGAAATGAAAATCGTGTAAAGAAAATAATTCTATGTAAAAGACCAACGTAAAATCATTAAAAAATAAAAAAGTGATAAACAAAAATTCGTGTAAAGTAAAATAATTTTATGTAAAGGGAAAATAAAATTCGTGTCAAGAAAATAAATTTTATGTAAAGAAAAAAATTTCGTGTCAAGAAAATAAGTTTTATGCAAAGTATTATGTGTATATAATAATAATAATAATAGTGTAGTTTTATATAGCGCACAAATCCATCTAATGTAAGATGCTCAGGGCGCTTGAAATGTGGACTAGTGACTCGATCAATGACTTTCTTCGCCCCTAAGGGTCCCTTCGTGTCTGTGCTATCCGGTAACCCGGTACCAGCAACTCTCGTCGTCCACCATAGGGGCTGTCTGTTCCAGTACACCGGGGTATCCCCCTACTCGTCTCGAAGGATGTACTGGGTTCTTTATAGTGCACACGAGCCATTGTATATGTTTCACGTTCGCCAAACAAAGTAATTTCAAGTAATGAGAACGATTTATATAATGTTTCATCGATGAGCAAAGCTTCAATTTATTTCCTCAATCAGTCATATAATTATAATATATACAAAAATAAAATATGTCTCGTATGTTTAAAAAAGTAATAACATATATTTACGAAATATACAATATCTTTAGACATTACAAAAATAAAATATTTCTCTTATATTTCAAAACTAATTACAATAATTTAAAATACATACAAAAGAAGGTCTAATTATTATAATTTACAATATATATACAATCAATTTTTTAGTTTACACAAACACTATATTTTTAATAATCGTCCAGTACAATATTTTATCAACATAGATAAAATCACTTACAATATTAAAGCAAAAAATTTTACATAGTGTTACCATGGCGTTGGCTGTCATTTAGTGTTTTGAAGCATAGGCCAATGGTCTTTCACTCCCATCGGCATAACGATGAAACAACACTACTCCCACGCCGGTTTCAGAAGCGTCGCAAGCAATATGGGTCGAAGTGACAAAGAATTGTGTCATTGCATAACAAGTTCTTCAAGTGTTGAAATGATGCCTGTTGCTCTTTACCCCACTCCCATGGTATATCTTTTCTGGTCATCCTGTTCAGAGGGCTGGCTATACTGTATTAACAATAATAAACAATATATATCATAAAAAAAATAGTAAGAAAAACAATCGTTTTTTTTAAGTTATAAAGTTAATTAACTCCGTCTTTACAAACAAATTATGATGAAACATAATTTTTTTATAAAAAAAAAGTTCAGTATAAAAATTCTATGGTGAATATGACAGTAAAATTTAGTTGTACAAACGATCATTTGTGCATAAGTTACCATCACGGAATATTGGCCTCTTCCCCTCTCTCTGTTTTTGACATGACATCCTTCAGGCCTCGTTTTTTTTACCAGGTCCGCTGCAAGAGATCCTCAGTGACAGATACTTTGCTATTTTTTTTAGCAGAATCTTAGCCTTGATGTACACTTCAAATCTTTGGGGACGGTAAAAACACAGGCATGAGCAAGTTTTGATTCAGCGTATGCCTTCTTTGTAGGTAGGTAGATTAAGAATAAATGAATACCGCCACCAAGCGGTTAGGGTTAATTCATAGAGATATAATAAGAATACTAGAGCGCCAACTGCAATGTATTCGATGTTCGAAATACGCAAAACTGTGTGTGTGTACCATCCAAGATGGCTGCCATAGACTCAGCCAATCAAATTTCTCCTAAGCGCTATCATTTTCAATGGCGCCCTCAATTTAACCAGAAAGTTCAGTGCCGCTAGTTAAAAAACCGAAGTAATTATCAGTGGCGCTTCATGTTATTGTTGGAATAAGTGCGTTTTGAGTGATTTTTTAAATAAAGCAATTGATGTTGAATAAGATGCTTTACTTGGCCTTGGCTACGATAGTTTAATAATTTATTATTATCAATACTAATTATCATTAATGAAATAATACTCAGTCAGAGGGCTTATTTATGGTAATAATATGTATAGTAAGCTCGAAGGTGGCGCTTTGTTACGGCAGCCATCTTGGATGGTACACATACACAACTCTGCATTGCTTCGCCATCTTGTCAGCACTCTAGTTGTTTAATAGCTCTATGGGTTAATTACAGAATAATCCTACGAATCAACGGTGGACGGCCCGGAATACAAAAATCCCTGCAATCTAACAAAATAACTTTATTTGGATAGGCAAATTATTTTCTTTATTTATCTATAACTCGTCCAACCCAGCCAGCAGGACAATAAAAATAATAAAATATATATAAAAAAAATTGAATACAAATAAATATAAAATATTAAATAATAATAATGATAACAACAATACATGCTAAAGAAAGTCTATATGGTAGGCATAGGCCTACATCAAGTCATATATCACACTTTCTACATTTCTAATGTGGCGTACTGTTTAGTATGTTTTTAAAAAAAATTATTTTAAACCTGTGATCACAATGTAATAACTTCGTGGCTATTGTTACACCAGTCGCAAGCCAACGGTGGCGATGGCCCGGAATATAAAAATCCCTGGCAAGGTGCACAGGGAGGGAGAGTTTTTATGGCTTATGGTCCAAATTGTGGTTTTAGATTAGCAATCAAAATAACTTTATTTTCATAGGAAAATTATTATTTTTTAATTATCTATAACTCGTCCAACCAAGCCAGCAGAATAATAAAAATAAAATATATTTCTAAAAATTGAATATAAATAAATAATATAAAATATTAAAGAATAATATTATCATAAATAATAATGATTACAATAACAATGCAAGCTAAAGAAATTTTAGCTGGTAGGCATATGCCTACATCTAGACTGGGTTCCAGTCCCTAATCTTTGTCTTAATCAGTTGAAATGCTTAAGAATAAATCGATTTTGGCACAAATGGCGTTCCATATTACTTATTTGCATGGCGTTCCATAGTATACTTTTTCTGGGATATCAAAAAGTTTCTCAACATAAACTGACGCTGGTGGCGCTTTCCGAAATGCGCTAATGTACTACGAAAAATCCATAAATTAGAGACTTGTGGCAAGTCTAGCCTACATCAAGTCATATACTGTATCACACTTTCTACATTTCTAATATGGAGTACTGTTTAGTATGTTTTTAAAAATTATTTTTAACCTGTGACAGCAATTTAAATAACTTCGTGGCTATTGTTGCACCAGTCATAGAACAATTCTACCTGTAGGCTATTATTTTTATCCTTATGTGTCATGTCATAAAAAAAATGCATTGAAGATGATATAGGTCTTTCTCAATTATACATTAATTCATTAAGTTTGGAAATACAAACCAGTCATAAGTTTTTTTATAGGAAATATTTCTTGTTTTTTTTTTATTTTTTATTCATATAACTACCTAGTAGTGGCATCGGAAGACAGGTAGTCCAAGCCTTACCGACATGGGGAGGGGTACAAATTCCCCCTGCCATCCGCTGGCGCCACCACTGGTTCCAGTTGGCACTGCCCCTATATTTTTGTCAATTAAACAAATTAAGCCATTTATAGGTGCCAGCCATACAATGGTATGCCTTTATCCCAACCATAGTGGGAAAGGTACTCTGGACCCTCCATCTGTAAAGCAACCCTGGCCCTATTAGGCGAGCAGATTATGCCCAAAAAGTCCTCTAAAAATCGTCGAGTGGCAATGGAAGTACTACCGGCTAATTTTGATATTTTATTGAATTTCTGAATTTCCAACTAGCTATCATGTGAAATTAAAAAGAACTGCAGGAGTTAGTACTGTATATAGAAATTACAGTATTTGTCTGTTTTTAATAACACTATTAAAGAAGTCTTCAGCTGATGTTTTTGTTGTACTTAACTTTCTTCTCTTTAATGTTTGTATTGTACAAAACAAAATTTATTGCTCCTCCACAACAGAGATCCTCGACAAACTGAACAAAAAGATTTCACTCGTAGCCAAAAGCAATCTTGTTAACAGTACGTGCAGAGAATATACAGTAAATACTGATCTACAACAATCGCTTATTCACTCGATTACAAACGCATATTGACACAGTACAAACGCATTGACTATAAAATGCAAACGCATTATAAAAACAATACAATTACGGTACATCATCTTTATATGAAACCAATGCAACTAAGGTTGACAGATAATATTTAATGTCGCTCACAATCCTAACTGTATAAATAGGTAAAACGTTAATAACATTTACGTCGTAATCACGAAATCCTGTACATATGTTTACTTTAGAAATGATTACGTCATTTGGGAGGTTTTGCAACGTTACAAAAACGAATACGTCATGTTCGTTATCGTCATTCATGCCTAACACATACTTAACAGTACATATACGAGATATAATTGTTGATTTATTTAAAAGTCATGGATTGCCTACGTAGTGTCAGATAATCTACTGTATGGGATGGATTGACTAAAAAAATGATGATGTAACCGTATTCGTTATCGTTTTAGTAAGCTTGCAAGACCTCCCAATTAATGGTAACTAAACCTTCTTGAAAGGAAAACACAATGCTGATGATAACCATTTTAAAATTTGTGATCTCTCTATTTTCTCCTCTTGTATATAAGATCTATGTCAACACAGACCAACTGTTTTTACAACACAACTTCAAATTTATTTTCGTAATTGAATAAACCTACTAAAGCTGCTAACAAAAGCACAAAAAAATCCCATAAAAATAACATAAAACAATTTTATTTTTTGTATACATTTGTTTTTGTTTTAAAATATGTTATGGGCTTTACCAGACTAAAGTTATGTTTCAGCATTGTTACTCCCATAGGCACATACTTAGTTGAGTAACTACTCTGACAGTGCTCATTGTTCGTGCTCTAAAGAGTATAGGCCTACTCATGTTATCACAAGTAACACGATCAATGCTACCCAAGACAATGTAATTCTCACAAATTATCAGTGTTATGCCAAACAAAATAAAAAGTTAATTACAGTTTATACCACAGAAACAAAGTTATATATTTTATACCTGTCATTAAACATAAACTTACCACACAGTCAATACTATAGAGCTATGTACACCCAAAGGGAATTTTCATGTTTTTAGGAACTGTGATTGGTTTAACCTTTGCTATTATGTACAGAACTATGTAAAATAAATAATGCATTGCATCACTTTCTTCCTTTTTACGCAAGCCTTAAGGAAAGGGTGACAATGAAAACCATGTAAAAACGAAGCAAGAATTTACGAAAGCAAGAATAAACAAATATTCAATTATATAAATGTCTATTGTTTAGATTTAATAAAGTAAGTTAAAGAATTCTACATAAATAATCAATTTTTTTTTGTCAAAATATTCTTTCAAGATAATGTTGTCTTTGTGACAACGACTTAAATCTTTAAACTACAGTATTTCAATCTTACTAGCCAACCTACAAAAGTTGGAAGAAGTCTTCTACACAAATAGCGTAAGACATGGAGGTATAGAAATGTCTTTATACCTCCACGGTTGAGATAACATGGATAAGATAGCTATAGCTGGATTTCATATTATTTCTAACCCATATTATTTACAAGGTAATATGAAGCTACTTAAAAATGGTTTTAATAGAAAAAACATGTTGCATTGTTCTAAAGCTCCATCATATCTTCTTAATTAGAGACTACATAAAATGATACACCAAATAATCCGTACCACTGGATATGACTATTTCTACTGTTAAGAGAAGAGTTTAAATCAATTTAGCACAAGTTGATTTTATCTACATAAACAAACTGACAAAATTCCAACCGAATGGGAAAAACAAATTCTTGGAGAAATAAAATTAAAACCTAGCAAGTTTCAGCAAAAAGAAAAAAAAAAAAAATACAAAACTGGGGAAATGTTTTGTATACACAATTTTATAATGTAGTATTCTTTTCATTAATTTCTTTTCTTTTTTTGTTGTAAACAAACACACACTTCTGGATCTAGATTCGTATTCTGAAAAGATATGTATAAGCTGATACAACTAATACTGATAATGAAAAAAAACCACTGTTTTTACTGCTTCAATTCTAAATGTCATAATCTCTATTACAATAGCCTTTTTTTTTTTTTACTTTTTTTTACTATTCGCTGCAGCATGGCTTATTGTATAGCAAATCGCAAGATAGCACCTCATCAGATTCATACCAAAATCTTATTTTTTTCCCCATTCCAATACCTCATATACTTTAAGATACCCAAACGTAACAATGAAGGCTTATAAAATCAAAATACAAAAAACAAAATGTGACATTGTAAAAGTTATATAAAAACAAATGAAAACTTTAACTGGGCATTGTTTTTTAACCCATGGCATTCTTATCCTTACACTTTTTATTTGACAGCCAGAAGATAAGTTGTAGATTACAATATTCCTGCTGGTGCTGTTCACATTCATGTTTGGGAACATCGTATTAGGTACATTGAGACTTCGGCATAATGTGCTATGAAAGTCCCACTTTCTATCCCTATGTGTGAGATACAGCACTATTTGTCTGCGGGCACGAGATATATGCATAATGTGCAAGACTCACTAGGCATGGAAGCTACATCATCTTAACCAATGCTGGAGACACCAGATGCACAAATATTCTAATATGGATGATACTTAAGCCATATATGGTAGGGTTCATCTGGTTCATTTTACAGTCTACTATCAAGTAACTAAAAAATACTGCTCATTAACTCCAACAACCTACGACCTTTATTAATCAAAATAATTATATTTGTTTTTATAATTATTACAAAGGTACTTCTTCTCTCTTGGTCTTCCATTTAGCAAGTCTTCTGATTCAATGCTATTGGACAAGTTGTAGTATGTTCATGCTGGTGTTGTACACCGAGTGTGAAGAACCATAATATTGGTCGCTATACGCGACATAGAGTAGTAGTATCTGTGTGCATGTAAAAGATGCAATGCATAAAACATGAAAACTACTTCAATTTTGGCCATTTTTGGTAGCATATATTATTACGGTTGTGGCTGATACAGTAGCTTAAAAAAACCCCAGATAATAACCACAAACTGTACATCTACCAGAGTGAGATGGGAGAAGTAGGGCCTGAAGCATGATAAAGATTTGTCTTTAATACTATTGATCCTTACATCTATAAGCTGTAGTGTATTATCAGAAATATATTTTACACTTCCAATTCGTTTATGTAACATATATTCTTAATTAAGCAGTACCATACATGATTGTTTACAATCACTTCAACTGCAGATTAATTACTTTTGTTGACCTGACATACTACAAGGAAAAAACACACTGTTTCTCATATGATTGGCTTGGAGCGGTCATTGGTACGTGTAGATCGCAGCTTAACCTTCTGCAGTTCGAGAAGGAGACCACTAGGTTTTGAATCTTCTTCCTCTTCGTCGGGTTCCTTTAACGTGCCCATGTGCATGCTTCGGTAGTACTGAGTCGATTCTATACTACTGTGCCTGCGCTGAAGGCCTGTCTCGGTCATTTCTCGCGACTGATAGGTTACGTGCTGCTGGTGGTAGTTGGTCGGTGTTGTCTGGTTACCGTAACCCGGTGGCGGTGCATACTGCTGACTCATGTAACTACCAGGTGTTGGTGTCTTTTGAAGATCATATACACTTGGGGGACTCTGCGGTTCATTTGATCTTTGGGGACTGAGGGTTGGTTTTGGAGGTGATGGCCTGGGTTCTGTACTAGCAAACATGGACTGTCTCTGAGCAAGTTTGGCATTTAAACTTTCCATCAAACTCTGTCGGTTGCCCGCTTGGTGCATGTCATGCGATGTGCGTAGACTTTGACTGCGCCCTAGATTTGAGGGTCTGGTCTTGGGAGGCGAGCTTTGCGGAACAGGTGCCTGGTCAACTGGTAGTGGTATCTTGAAAGTACCGGAGTAATCAAATACGGTCTCGCTTTGATGAGTTGGGGTAGTTGATGGACTGCTTCCTGATGTCAAGGAGGTGCGCCTGACTGGCGGAGGCGGTTTACCCCGGCGCAATGTGCAGTAACTGGGAACAGCTCTCCTGTTCATGTTGTTGGCAGGAGTAGCTGCAAATGGTAGTCCAGCAGTAGATGCGGGACGCCGAGGAGTAGACGTATGCTGATAGGAGTTGCTGACATCACCGTTTCGAGGAATCGTCGATGGTTTTTCAAATATCAGATCCGTCTGCTTTTCGGCTTGCAGAGAGTAGCAGTCAAAATCTAGAAAAATGTTAAAATGAATTGGTTAGCACTATGACTTAAATAGGTACACAGTAGGATAAGGAAGCAGTATGTGCACAGACAGAAACCCTTCCGAAGATCCAATCAAGTTTAACATTGACTAAGTAGAAGGTATTAACACTTTGAACGTCAAAGAAGGAAATCTCCATCAGCGCTAACACATTGCTTGAGCAGCAGAGATCGAGATTTCTGTCTATAGTGTATTTTTTGTATTATCAAACAGAGGGTGCTACAACGGTTCTTGTGGACAAGGTTTGAACTCAATTGGATGTCTGGACCACCTGAAAATGTTATTTGAAATCACCCACCCACCATGCATGTAGTGAAAAAAGCTTCCTTTCCAAAGCTCATTATCTCAGCTTTTTGTGGGATCGCTGAAAAAACATCTGGCGCTCAAAGTGTTAATAGATAGATAAAATTATTTTAGTACTGGTACATAATGTTTTAAACCTCTTATGTATATCACATCTATTAAAATTATTAGTAACAAAAACATTTCTGTAGGTAATAAAAATAAGTGCATAATAAGAGGCCTTAATGTACTTCACACTGATAGAAAAGAGAGAGGAATATTTTGTGACCATACCTTCAGAAGCAATCGTGTCATCTGAAGCTGATGGTGTTGTAGTCTGGGTGCCGTATCCACTAGACTGTAGAGATAGCTGGCTATGTTGAACATTCGCCAAGTTCCGGCCTCCTGGGGTATGAGCTCCTAAGCCCCTGGCTAAAGCCATGGCTAGGTCTGCAGTGACTGGTAGGGCAGGCTAGAGTGAAAAAAGTATAAAGAAAGAAGCATAATGCTAGAGGAATTAAATACCGTATGCATAATTTCCAATGTGTCAATCATGCCCACAACACTGAAAACCAATAATAGGATTCTTTCTCATTAAAACTGAATTCAGTTTAGGTTTTAACTATTTTGGTATAATACACTATATAGTAGTACACATGAGTATAGTACTGTAATGTAAATATGTATTACTTTAACGACACATTATCATAATCACTATCTTCACTATCATCACTTTATCAACCATTACTATCATTTTCTAAATGATTACTATTATTCTATTAATTATTCATCACCATTATCATTGTCATTAAATGTCAACAAAGAAAATTAAAAAAAAAAAAAAAAAATGATGGTAATCAATTCAATGTTGAACCTAACAATAAATTTATTAAAAGTAAATTGTTGCTTTTTAATCATTGGTTTTGATTAAGAAAGCCTCAGAACCAACCGATTCTGATGTGTAAACCATTTTAGTATAATTTCAACACCACATGATAATAACTAGAATAAATGGTATGGAGATATGCCTCTACCAGCATTAGCATCATCATTTTCAATCCATCAGTTAAGACAGGTTTCCATAAAATCGCAAAAACACACTATCACCGACGCTAAGGGGAAGCCTTGTACATTATTACAACATATATATAGTGCCATTACATAAAGATCAAGGGGTATTTTTGTATTTGTAACTAATATACCGTAAATCCTTGAATAAGCACTGCAGCTCTTATAAAATTTTTGGAGGCTTCAGTACAGCACTCATTCAAGAATGGGCTTATAAACAAAATATTGGAGTGGTGCTTACGTTGCCTGTTCCTGTGTTACCTTCTCACATATTTCCATAGTTTAGTAAGCCTATCATAGGTCCTACGTCATCGTTTTATAAAGAAATGCTTGTGTCTTCTGTGTGTTATTTATTCATTTCGACACTGTATGTATTTAAAACCCTGTTCCTTAAAGTGTTTCATTACACAATGATAGGTTTAATACATAATGGTAGGTGTAACATGTTTCATTACACACTGAGTAGAAGTGGTTGCCGCATCAGTTGTGACTTGGACTCCCAACCTTGAGGTCGGAGGTTCGAAACTCTCGCTGTGCAAGTCGCTTGTGTCCTTGGGCAAGGCACCTTATCTACGGTGGTCTCTCTCCACCCAGGAGTACAAGTGGGTACAAGTAGGTTCAAGCATGTGCTGAATACAGCTGCAACATTATGTAATTCCCCATGGGGCTTGAGTGTGTGTTCATTATGTGTTTGATCCAGTGATCCGGGGGTAACAATGTAAGCTCATAGAGGTCCTTACAATATGCGCTATATAAGTCGACAATTATTATTATTATTATTAATATGCTTGATTAAGCACCGCAGTGCCTATTCGAGAGCGGCGCTTGGCTTAAAAAAATCAGTGCTTACTCGAGCATTTACGGTACTGTAGCGATGAAATACATCTAACAGAAGAAAACCAGAAATTGACAAAATAAAATAAACAGCACAGACAAAACCAAACACCATCGCACTCTTCCCCAGCAATTTAAGGCCCTAGGCCGCCAGGACAGTATTCACAGATGTTCGAATGATGTTAGCATCAAGTCACAGTCAATTCCAATTGAATCCTTCCCAATTGCATCAGACAGGCTTCACAGTGCAATGATTGAAGTGAAAAAATTGTAGCAACAATATAGCAATTTTATGGAAATCAGGCTTCAATAATCGGATTGAGTAATCTGAAAACCAACCTGCGACACCTTCTTTTGGGGTAATGTAGCACTCCTGGTCCGCCGGTGCTCATACGGATTCTGCCTTTTACCTTCCATACCAGTAGGCTGGGGTACAACTATAAAACAAACAATAAAAATGGTGAAATTTTACTATTTATTAGATTTCATTGGGAAAAACTATGTCAAGCAAGGCTGCATGTGTAATACATGTCTCCCTCCAATTAAAGACCACTTTTGTGACTGAGGTTTCCATTGTCTTTAGCAGCTTTGGCCTCTAATTAGAATAATAAAGATAAAAGACACTTTATCATAAGGGACCACAGAAAGGTGGTCCTTAATTGGGGTTGTCCTTAATTGGAGGGGTCTTTAATTAGAGGGAGACCTGTACTTTAAAATATACTCAAAACAAATATCAAGTAAGGGATTACATATATATAGAGTAAACAAAATATACATAAATACAAATGAATGGAATGAATAGAGAAACAGATGCCACAAAATGGAAAATACTGTAAAGATAATTACATGATGAAACTGAAATTGTTTACATAATATATTCTCAAAATATAAAAACAGTGCATCAAGACAATTTGCTTTATAAAAAGACAACAAATGAAAATGTAAAAAAAAAATGTAAATGTGAAAATAGTGATAAAAAGTGATAAACATTTAGACCAATGAAAACATATATGTGAAATAAAAAAATATTTTTCCAATTCAAGTACAGTATTTATAAATTTTTATGAAGATTGCAACCACATACACACAGGACAGTAGGAGCACACAAGAGCACTTGTTGTTCACAAAAACGTTTAAATTTTTGCCACTATACATTTTGGCTCATGGAAGTATGAAAACAGGGAAGCCAAAATAATAATAGGGAGCAAAGATCTTACAATAACAGGATAGTTTTCTGTGATTTCTGCGAGCAAATTCTGTAATAATGCAGTGTAGGACGCCCTCTTGCAACTACAATTACTTTTGAACTTTGACATCTATGATTTCAGTGCAAATCTGGAACAACCACCATAGTAACAACTAGAACGCCCTCTCTCAGTTACAACTACTTTCTATTGTTTTCTGCATGAATTGGATGCTTTCTATTTGTTACACGCAAAATGCGGAGAATGCTATCTTGTTATTATAAGATCTTTGATAGGGAGGAAATGAGAAACATAAAAAAAAAAAATATTTTGCCTTTTAAGCTATGTCCATACAATCAAGATTCATGCGACAAGTGTGTGTGATGAAATCACTATGCTCATATATGGGTGTGATATGACATCACCATGCCCATATATGGGTGTGATATGACATCACCATGCCCATATATGGGTGTGATATGACATCACCATGCCCATATATGGGTGTGATATGACATCACCATGCCCATATATGAGGCATGTTGTGGCAAAATGGCTAAGTTGTAGCAAAAATTGAAATTCAAGTTATTGGTATTTTCAAATACCTGAGTATGTGATATTTAAAATGAGGGGTCATTCATTGAAATTGGACATTTTAAGCCTAAGTTGTTGGAAAGTGAAAGTACAGTATTCTTAGAATCAAGATAAACATGATTTTAAGTAATTGCCTTTCAAAGTTATTTATGCCTACATTGTTTAATAGAATGGACTATCTAAATAACAATAAATAAACAACTTGTTGACCACTTCCAGAACTAATACTTTGGTATATGATTAATAAGACATTAAAATGTTGATCTATAGTGAAAAACAAATTTGGATTTTTAGGCAATTTTTTGAGCTCCCATATTTTATAGCTCATTTACTCAATACTGGCCAGTGCGACAACTTAACCATTTAGCCACGACATGCCTCATATGGGTGCGATATTACATCATCATGTGCTCATACGTGTATAAACCACACAAATTTGTCACATAAAACTTAAATGTGAGGATAAAGCTTAGTGCAAACACCATAGAATGTCACAAAAATGCATAAACATAAAATGACTTTTAAAAAAAGATATGCGAACACAGATTTTGTGAATCTACATAATTTGATATTTTATTTGTTTTTTGATGTTTTAATTAATCTTATGTTTTAGTAAGTTGCTTGGTGTTTTTATTTTAATGGACTATCAATTGTTTTTGTATTTTTGAATCTTTTACTCCTGCAGTTTTTTTAAATTTATAGCTATGCTTCTTGTTATGTTATATGGATTGTTGTAATAAAGTCAATACAGAAAGAACATAAAATACTGTGAAAGGTTTGCAGTAGAGTGAATAACGTAGAATACACCAAATGACAAAGGTTAGAAGAAATGTTAATGCACCAATGAAAAATGTGCTACTACAACCTGCAAGCTATTAAGACTGAGGATCAAAGTGGTTTGTGTTTACAACAAGCTTTCTTATTGGCATAAAAAGATGAAGAAAAAAGAAATAAAGATATACTGTCTATGTTAGGCTAACAAACGTGAGTAATAAACTTTGATATTTGAAGTAATTGCTTAAATGCAAATAAGGTTTTTAGCTTTACATAATTGCAAGTAAAGCTATTAGCTTTCAATCGAAAATGAAAAAGGATGTTTTCTTGCCTACTAACCAAAGATTTCAAACTGTAGGTAGTAGATTTTGGATTAATAGACCCTTATATCACAGCAATGTTCTCTCGAAGCCAGAACTGGCAGCATTATTTGCCAGAATTTAAAAAAAAAAAAAATTTTTTAAATAAACACCCTGAAAATTCATCAGATATGTTCCTTTTAAACAGCAATAATGCAATGATTGTTATTGTGTTTACAATGGCAGAGAAACCTCTTTTAAACAATCCCTTTGGCATTACAAACTTTGATTGATGTTATGCATCTCAAGAAAATACTGTACAGCATTCATAAACTATTTGCAGATTCTTAAATTGGTTGGCAGTCACTTTAAAAATGTTATATTAAAAAATCTATAAATCAGCTAAAAAAAATTAACTGTTTTGGTGTCTCTTTGAAAGTTGATGAATAATTTGCTTATTTTAAATGCGTAATTTTTTCAGGTATTTTTAATTGAATTTTTAGTATTTTCCAAATTTTAACATACACAGTATATCTTTGAAGACACAAAAGTTTCACACATTAAAGTATTTAACAGAGATAGTAATTCAGTAACAACCCAATGACACCAAGAAAAGGAAACTAACATTACCGCAATGCGATGAAATAATACAATGCAAGAATTACAAATGATATAATATGCAAGTTTTTTGACAAGGTTTGCAATGGGGCTGACGGCAAAACACAAGTTGTCGTTTGCAACATTCAGTAATGCGCAGAATGTTATTTCTTTTTCGTTGCACGCAGGCACTTACTCTTACTGGTTTCGTGAAAGTGTAAGTTCGACAACTCATCGTACAAAGGATCTGATTGGCCGACAGTAGCAGCTGTAAGTTTGGTGGGGAAACAAATAGCAGAGGTTCAGTGATGCTTAAGAATACAACTTAACTCCCATATTTATTTAATAGAACATAAATAGAAACAGCAGAAAAAAAGTTAAAAAAAAAAAATCATTGTCAAAGGTGGCGGATGGAATGTAAAAAAGTGAAGGGAAAAAAATTGGGTGAAGGGTATGCATATTTTCTCAGTCTACACATGCATTTAATGCAGGATACATCCCCATACACACAATAAGGATGTCTTATGTAAGTGCATGGGCTAAAATCATTAATAATACACAGACAAATGTTCTTGACTAAGTGAGAATCTTCATACCTTGTGTTGAAAACTATTCGCTAGTTGATAATTATTTTGAATAATGAAAACATAATTTTAGCCTGTTGGCATACCTACTATTGAGAAAAATATAAATTTCAGAAAGATAATATTAATAAATATTATTTTGATTTTGCTCATAGCTGCTATGAAATCTCACAATAAAAATTCTTTATACCTTCCTCAAATTTAAACAAACACAATGTATTTTAATATCAATCTGACCTCTAGCAATGACCCAAAAGCGCCCTCTATTATTTACAAAAAAATAGTTTGCTAAACAAGGTATAAAAAGTCTCGCCTATGTACCCACAAATACATGCTATTTCAAAACACATACAAAATATAATTATAATTAATTCTAACTTCACGATTATAAACATATAGCTTTGAGATAAAAGGAAAGTATAAGACGTACACAGTACAAAATACACAAGACGTAAATGAATGTGTGAAAACAAAGGGATTTAAATTACAAACCCGCGAGGGTATGCAAATACAAACTGATTGACTGGGTGAGAGGGAGGACCTATGTCAATATACCACTTCCTACTGTAGCATATAAGATGTGTTTAATTGCATGCAGGAGGTCCGGGAGTTTATTATTCTTTACTTAATATTGGGACTGGAGAACCAACAGTCGATCCTGGCAGTAACATAAGAAGGGTACAATGTCCACAACGCCTGTAGGACGCAATCAGAATTTTGCGAAAAAACATGTGGCTATAATCTAAGCAGCAGTTACTAACACAATTCAACACAGTAATACTATAAGAATGGCAACAGGTGGTCCGATTCACAGTTTAATGTTCCAATCGCACAATCTTGAAATGGAATCTGTGTGAACACTAAGCTATCCGTAAAGCTTGTGATTGTGTCTATCACTGCTACTTAATCCCGACCGCATCCAAATATCTGGATAATCCAGAGGGGATTTCAAGAGTATCTGGCAGACTATGATTTGACTCGAGGGGTATCTGCTGATATTGATTGATGGCAAAGGTGAGGTAATCTTTGACCAATAACTGTTCAGAGATTTGTTCAGATATTTCACATCTGTAGTGGTGGTCGAAAAGATGATGATGTACTTGACGTTGATGCAAGGACATGGTAAGGGTGGAGGACATGGTAATGGTGGCCGGCCATGGGAATCAGTGTGAACTTGATCAGAAAGCAGATAAGGAGGTGGCTCAACTAACATGGTTATGATCTACAAGCTAAGGGTTAGCTAGTACAATGTTACGTAAGAAGGAATATGTACCCATTAATTTAGCAGGCCTATACTAATGTTTAATTTGTGGATATGCAGACAAAAGTAGAATTTGAGGCTCACTAGAGTCTTGACTTTGTGGATACTTAACACTTTGTATTACCGTTAGATGTTATTCTTTCAGTATCATTCAGATACAGAAGAACTCAAGGTCACTGAGTATATTGGATATTAAATATGATGTAGATGATATTGATAATAATGTAGACAATCATGGATTAAGTGGATTGTATAAGATGTTGATTGTAAATGATGATGACTTAGAAGATGAAAATGATGTAAATGATGATAATTTAGTTGATAATGATCTATGATGACATGACAACAATGATAATAAAATTGACGATGTTGACGACATGTTTGATGATTTATATTGAGAGGGTGGCTCCAAAGTGTAAGGAACTGCAAGAGGTCCGACTCTTGTGGTTTCGTTGGAACTTAATCCGACTTCAAAAAGTACTGCCATGAAGGGGCGTATCCTAAAAAGACGAGTTTAGAGCGAGCTCTATTTGAATTCTAATAAGGCGCCCCCTATTTCGTCGCAGTACCTTTTTAACGTTCCATTGCATACATACAGAATCACAGCAGTCGGACCCCTTGCAATTATTATACTCTTTGGTGGCTCTAACAGCAAATTTGACTTGAAAAAGCCCTCTCTCTTAACTATCTACATGTTGTAAACTATAAATGTATATAATGAAAAAGATTGAAGATAATGATGATGAAGTCAATTATAATGGAATGTTATAACATGTACAGTATTGATGAACTTGGTGATGAAATAAAATGAAATTTAAGCTATAACGGCATCTAGGATGAAATCAAGTGATTACTGGAGCCAGAAATCCGCTCCACGCTGAACATTTCTTGGTGGAAAAATGCTAAACTCACCTTGGTTTATATGGGTCATGTTGAAATCGGGAACAATTGGAGGACAAGGAGATAACACAACATCATTGTTTTTAGACTTAGAATTCACTAAAGGTTTCTCGGGAAGACTGGAGTTGGTGACGGGGGGAGGGGGAAGGGGCATCGACTGGTTCAGGGAGTTATTTGAAGACCAACTGGTCCAGGAAGGGGGTGGTGGGGGTAACGAATCGTAAGAAGGCGTGCTGCACTCACTTGACGACTGGTCTCCATTTTGGCCGATTGTCTGCGAAGAAAAAAATATAAAAAAGTTAACAACAATTTAATGACTTGTAATCTTCTTCTGTCTCTGTATAATAATTAACATTTAAAACAAATTCTATTATTATTAAACATTAGAGAGGTAGTATAGGACTATTTGAACATGGATGATATCTTCATAAATCTAAATAGATTGTTATAAATATACATGTTAAATTAAACCAGATAAATTATTCTCTACTTTGCTAATGGAAATTTAAACTAGTGAATTTAATGAATTTCTTATACCCACATCTGTTTAAATTCATGCATACATAATTTTAATAGAAGTACAGACCACTATGCAAAATGTATTCACTTTTTTAAGCACATTAAAAAAAATATTTGATAACTGCAGGAACACATTAATTTATTCATAATTACATTATCAATCAATAGGCCTTAATATATAGGTATTAGATAAGTTTATATCTGCAGAAGCCTGGTTAATTTGCTGCTGAATATATAGCAATAGCATTTTATAAAAATAGTTTCTTAATATACTATTTATATTCCTTATTCCACCAACCAAAAATTCTCGTATGATATAGTTTATCATGAATATCACTGTATTAATAACAAATGTTATATAATTACATAAAGTTCACTTCAAAATAAAAATAACTGAAATTAGGAAAAATGGAAAAAATAATGGATTAACTAAACAAAAGATGTATACCACATGCAAAAAAATGGAATCGAACGAATAGTTATTCATGCAAAACCATTCCAAACTATTTACTGAACAAAAATTTAACTTAAATCTAGGATCTACCTTTTCATTCATGTCCATGCTTCACTGATAAAAATAAAATAAACAAACAACAAACAACTAAAAACACACAACAATAATATTGATATTCTAATTTCCACCTGGTAGTCTGACTCCTGAGGGGGTGTAGCTGGCCTCTGGAATAGCATGTCTTGAGAGATGAAACCAGAGTCTTGCGATGAGACGCTAGAGAGCCGTAGAGGCGATTCTGTGGGCTGCGACATACTACGGTGCCGGAATGGGTTGCCCGGTGAGTGCGAGTTGACCGAGCCGCTGGACCGTGAATCTGAGCTAGCCATACTGCTTAAGCTACACATGCTGGACTTTCGGGAACCTGTTGAAGCTACAGGTGAACCAGGGGGCGTCTGCACAAAAGATGGAAAAGCTCACTAAACAGCCGACTAAAGGTGATAATTATATCGCAACGTGCGGGTATGTGTGCTTTAAATAAAAACTGGATACATTTCAGTACCGACCACACTAAGATTTACGGATACAAATAATAGACAGATATAAAATGTGCAAAGAACTAAAATTCAACAAGTACACATACACAATTTTTGCATAAAAATCACAAAAAGGTAAACATATAATAAATCATTCATTCTGCAAATATCTAAACATTTTCTAAATACTTTTTTAACTTAAAATTGGAAATATAATTAGGTAGGACAGAATATAATAAAATAGGTAAAAAATAAGGTAATTATATAGTGTTGTATTTTAATCAAGTTTTATTTGGGAAGATTCGGAATAATAGACTCTGTGTTATGTATACATTCCTACCAGAGGGAATACAAGTATTGTTCTTAAGACATGACTAATATTGGGAATAATATCGGAACTGGCACAAGGACAAGCAATTGCTTCCTTAAACATGTTCCCAGTGGTTCAATGGATATGGATATAGAAAGTGTCAATGGTGGCCACGCTACATAGAGAACAAATTGTGATATTTGAAGGATGATAAGAGAAGTTCAAATGATATACAATTTCGCTATTACCCCAGCAGTAGAAATCATAGCTCAGGCACTGTAAATGTTCGAATAAGAGCTGTGGGGCTTATACAATTTTTGGAGGCTTCAGTGCATCTCTTACAAAAAAAAATATTGGCATGGCACTTTACAGGCCCGTTCACACGTTACCTATCTCACATATTCCCGTAGGCCTACCCTAGGTCCTTCATCATCATATATAAATGTTTATAAAAAAAATTGTGTCTTATTGTACCCTTATAATATTATTCTTTTTATTTTTCTTATTATTCTGTTATTTATTCTTAACACTGTATACATTGTATTTAAAATCCTGTTTCCCAAATGGTTTGATTACAAACAGGGTAATGTATACTCTTGGTGCTTATCAAGTTTGGTTGGGCGCTTATTCGAGACGGCGCTTAATCAAGCATTTACGGTATATATTCAGAGGCCTAGAATGTTCGATGTAGTGAGAAATGTATTTTGTCCTAGAGTGTATCTAAATACTTAAATTTAATTTAAATTTGATAATATAGATGGATAATGATTAATTGATTGACGATTGTTTCCTACCTACAGTACCTTTATGGCACTGAAATTACAAAAGGATAGCTCATAAGGGAGGAACCATTATTATCTCTGTGTTTGTTTTTTTATCATGTTATAATGGACATTAACACTTATATAGCACCGAATCCACCTCAAAATAGTGTATCCACACTACAACTTGTCTCTTAGAATGGTAATTGACTATGAAATGGTCATGCCAATCATAAAATCAATGTATCTCAGTAACAATTATCAGAATAATTCTGGCATCTGTAGGATTCAAACCCTACCTCTTTGGAATGAAAGGTAGGCACCTTAAACACAAGTTCACAGCTACCTTACCCATTTTGAAATACAGAAAATGTTCACCCCAAAATAGGAATAGTTTGTGGATGGAAAAGGAATAGTTTGTGGATGTATACCAATGCTTGTGTGCCAAAAACTGTTGTTTTTCCTGGTAAATTTCTTTGTTACCATTAATTCCACAAATTCTAAGTGCATGGAGCCAAAAATATTTTATGGACCATCATCAATAATCATTATTTACCTAAAGAAGTGTACCAAGTACAAAAAAAGTTTGTGTTTATTAAATATTTCAACTAGTCTATAATGTGCTATTTTTTATTTTGCTTAATGATTATAATGAAGTTATTAATCTATGGAGGTTGGTAGATTTTTCTCTCCCACTTTAAAAACTACTTTAATGTACTTAAAAGTACTTAACTTATTATCAGGAAGGAAATACTGCAGTAAGTGGAGACATGCATGTTACTAAGTTTATATTTTACCATAAGGAACTAAAAACCAAGCAATATTATTATTAAAAACAATACAAATATAGAGGGTAAAGGGAAAGGTCACATGTATGCAAATTATATTTTATTTTGTTAAGAACTTAGGAAAGCCAAGCAGTTTGTACTAATATGGGGAAAATGTAATATGCAAATTATGGTAGTTACAAAGGGAAGGGAAAGTAAAATTGGTACTTATTAGTTAAGATCTTACAGAGAGAAATTAATTGTAACATATTAGTAGAGCAATAATATTTTAATCAACATTGTCATTAATGTAATCATTGTCATTAATCTAGTCATTAAAGACTCTCTTAAAATAATTCATTATTTTATGCTTTGTTGTATATGGTTTTATTGATTGCATTTAACATGAAATGATAAGTAGAAAATGAAACCCTGACTGGCGTCAAATGGTCTTTCAGTTTGCATTAATCAAAAAGCCAGGAAAATTCTCTTCTCAAAGAATTACAGTATGTGATGTGATCATTAACATTCCAACTAAAATATTTACACAAAAAATATGTACAATTTACTTAGCTGCACCACAGTTCTGGAAGGCTTATAGAATCTGCGAAGGGTATTTAAAAAAGTTTCTAATAATGATTGTATATAATCATTGTTAGTCTAGGACAAAGGATTTCCATTTGGAATTTAAAATTGGTCATTTTTGAAGAGTAAATAAATTGGTATGGTTGGAATATAACATGCATACGAATACACTCAACCTCCCTCACAAACGCCCTTACACATACACCACCGCACAAATAAGATAGTTAAAAGAACCATGCATAGGTGAAACAAGAGTGGAATGGCTAACTAGAAATTAAAGACTTTCTATTATTTTATTTCTTTAATATCAACTCTTATATATTGCTTGCTATTCTTAAATAAAATAATGTGTTATTAATATTACATCTAGTATGTCCAATACCTTGTTTTACCTAACATCCTTTCTAGATATTCCTAATTAATTTGATTATTATACACACTTGCTCCAGTGAAAGGTTTGCAAGCCTAACACTAATGTAATTCTCTCTTAAATTGTATCCTAGTTACCTTCAGTATGAACAACCACTTTAGCTTTCAATGTTGCAACAATGCATGTTTTAACCTTTAGCTCAGCTTTTCAATCGTCTTTTCTTCTATCACTACGCTGGCATTTCAAAGGTAATACATGTGGAGGCAAAGTGTAATTACTACCCTAGTATATAACCTACAGCTAACTGTACGTTAATAATTATTTCAGCATTGTGAACTATGAAATCAACAGAATGACACTAGTCTGTGCTGGATAATCATGGCATAATATGGCAACGTCCTATTTCATAATTTCACTCTAAACTGAGGATGATTAAGTTGATAATTGAAATAAATAAAATAAATAATTATTTTATTAAATAAAGAAATGAAATAAAATTAAAATAAAGTATATAAAACAAACAAAATATATATATTGTTTATTTTCCAGTTACGGTTCGATTCCTAAGCTCTCTGCCATGCTAATTTTTATCTACAGATTGCAGGTATACAGTCATTACACTGAAAATAATAGGGAGATTTTGAATGCCCGACAACGTAGAACGTAATGATGTCACTATAAGTTATATGCGCACGCGAGAACGTTAAGTTTTCCTCGTCGCGTTGATTCTAGGATGCAATTTGCCAAAATCTATGTATGCAGAGAACATAGGACGCCAAGTAGGACAGTCACGAATGAGTGATTCCGTTCTAGCGTCGCGTCATCGAACCAATCAGAAGCTCTCTTTTAGTTGACTACCGAAACTGCTTTAATATGCCTTGCCTACCATGACAATTGTAACACAACAGCTAATCCAGAAATAAATGAAATAAATAACAAACCAAAATAAATGATTAAACAAATAATTATTATAAATAATATAAATTGTTAATCTGAATACATTTTTCAAATAATAGTTATTGCAGAAGATATTCTAGCACTAAATGTGGGTACCATATGAACATGTGTGCTATGCTCTACATTAATGTTAAATATGTCTCTATTTCACTTTGTGTGGGTCAGTTCAGCTCTTGGTGAACCTACATTATCCTCTGATATGATTATCCTAGCACTAATGAAGTTACAGACATCATCACACTACAATAATACTGTGCACAGTAACTGATCCCTGGTTTAGCTATCCTCTGCGCTACTTTGGTTACCTCTAAACTCTCCAGGCCGCCGGCCTATAATGCTAATGAGTACAAATGCTGGCAACACGGTGTGTATCGCCATTTTAATTGGATTTCTTCAAATAGACGGTGAATAGTGAATGCGTTGTGGATGGTTTGTCCTAGTTAGAGGGACTTTAATCACTGCTCATTAATCACCCGCGGAAATTTCTCGCTAATGATTTGACGGAATGCTCGCAGAATTTTGAGGCTTTCTATTTGGAAATCTGTCAGAGAACATAGTTCGGTTGTCATGTTACTGCCATCATCACCACTCTTATTAACATCTTTATTAAAGCAAATGTAAAGTGTTAGTCTTAATTTGATAATTTGGAGTTATATCACTGGTACTGTTAAAAATTCACAATTCATCTAAGTTTTTTTTATGTTGCTGATTATATAAATGAAAAATAATGTGTAATGACATTCTATAATATCCTGAACGTGTATATATACAGTGACAATCTTTTCACAACTCAGCAGCATTCTCGCTAAAAAAAAAATTCCAAAGAAAAAGTAAACAAAAAGGCAGAATATTCTGGAAAGAATATAAAAGATTACGAACATTAAAAAAGACAAATGCAAGGATATATGGTGCAGGGTTAGTTAAAACCAGGAGGAAAGCCTACTGTATGTAATCCAACCCTATCCCTTGCCCTAAATGTGCACAAAATTACACTGATTTTGGCAGAGGGCCGGCATATATCCGAGGACTAAATGGGTGAATATGCAGGCTTACTGAATTTAGACAGGTCTAGCTTAGGTTTTCCAAAGATAATATACCCCTGTTTAGAGAAACAATGCACAATATTGAAGGCTTAAGCATAAGGTATATATAAAAAAGTTGTTTCAAAACTCTTAAGAAGTGGGCTTCTATTTGAGCAGAGCATTTTGCATGAAGATACTAAAAAGTTAGGTGGTGGACTTATGCTTGGTGTGTGATACCAAGGACCACTGTACAGGTATGGTAAACTGTTTTATCTGGACTAGGGAAAAGGATATAGGCCTACCACTCTGCTAATGGCATGATGACCCTTCTGGTCTAGGGAAAAAGGAGGTTGGTATGATATAATCCCTCTTGTTTAGGGCAAGAAGATACAATTATCATAATACCCAGGTTAGGGCAGATGTATAAAATAATACCTTTCTAGTGAGGATGAGAAGATATGACCCTTCTAGTTACAGTAGAGGAAGGGGATACGAATTATACTCCATTAGTTAGGACAAGGCGCCCTCTGGGACATCAATGAACAAGATGCTTATAATATCTCCATTGTGTGCGCAAAATATACTTTATAATACCTTCCTTGTTAGGTAATGGATACTAAAATAATGCCTCCTTGTATTAGATCATGAGGTAGTATTAAATACATCTCTTTGGTTAGGGTAAGGAGGTACTGTACTAAGAGCCTCCTGTGTTATACGAATGCCTTTCAAGCAGTTAGTACTAGTAGAGCAAACACAGTTAAGCTTAAACATGCAAGTGTCAAGTCTCATAGTTAGCAGGTGTCAATCAATCATCTTATTTATTTTTACTTGTGCAAATAACACTGTTTAATAATATTCATCAATACGGTGTAAAAATAAACACCAGTAGTCACTTTATAGGATTGCACTTTTATGTATAAATAATTTGTTTTCTGTGTATGCAAAAATGTTTCAATTTTAACCTTAATTGATCTTAATTTTAGTAATGTTTTCCATTTTTTAAGAGTGTTTTAACTCATATTCGCTAATGAGGTTGTTTTATTAAACTACAATATTCTAAAATTTTTTTAAAATTAGAAATACACGATATTAAAAGTTTATTTTTATATTTGAATAACTGATTTAACATTAAACAAATCCAACAGATTGAAATTGTAAATTAAGATACTGTAAATATTTATAATAGAATGTGGAATATGATAATATATAATATAAAATATGTAAAGTAATAATTATTATGATACATAATTATATGTAATAACATAATTATAACCTGAAATTGAAAATAGTCATTACAATATCAAACATGGAATGAATGTTTTAATTCATCCAGTAAGTGTTTAGTATTAAATTGTATTTAAATCAAAAACTGGAACTTACTAATTATCAACATTAATAATAGTAAGTTCCAGTTTTTGATTTACAATACAATTTAATATCAAACATGGAACCTTTCTCATTCTAAAAAAATGAGTTATAAAAAAACCCTGTTAATGAATTGGTAATTTATAGTTTAAAAATGAGCCACATCCATCCGGAGTTAAAAAATAAGATCACCACAAAGAGAAAATCTCAAAAAATAAAACAAAAACTGATGGAGCAATGTTATGGGAGATTATCAAATGGAGAGTTCTTCACTACATTTTCATTGACTGAAATGTGGCGTGCAGGTATGTAATGCAAAGTATGTTGGAATGTACACACATTGATGTACTTGAAAATTAAATTTATATGGGTCATAGGAATATGTAATGTTAATACTCTGACAGGCGTGAAGTAGCAATGATTTAGGAGAGTCGTTACAGTGATTTGACTTGAGATCTGTTTAGACAATTCTAAGTGTAATGTCTTCTACCGGACGTGTCACTTTGTTGTAATAATAGATTAGAAAAAAAAATTTCATTTTAAATGAACGAACAATAAATTGATTGTAGAACTGTTTCAACGATAATAAACCAAGCACAATTGATAGTAAACTTTCTGCAGGCTTTCGTCGATGTTATCAACATGACTTCGTCAGGCTAAGTTTTTCTAGGAAATTTCAGTGTGGTGTTAATTTTCAAATGTTTTGTTGGTCATATTCAACTGAATATGATAAGTACAAATATTCATATTAAATAACTCTGATATTGTTAACACATCAAACTCCAACTTTTCGAAATACTTTCCCATTTGCTCCATCAGATTTTTGTTTAAAATATGCAAATGATTAAAAAAATTATTCTACAATCAAAACATAATATAAAAATAATAAAAATGGAAAGAAGGGAGATGCTTGAAAACTTACAGGAAAGGACCATTTATTTTCCTGGCCCTTGATGTCCAGGATGACCTGTTCGCTGGCCTTTGGGAGTGTGTACGGGTCCTTCACCTGGATCATTATGTCATCCAAGATGGTGGAAAGGTGTGTTGTCTCACTCAGCATTGAACATTCTTCATCCTGATGTAACATAGCAAAAAAACATTCTTAATTATATATTCTATGAAAATGTGGTGATGAGGAAGACACTAGAGTAGAAACAGAGATAATTAAAGAGAAGAGGACACATTGCCAAAGGATGAGAAAATTAAGGGGAAAGAACTTGAAGGAAAAGAGGAAGAAAAAGGATATAGAAGATGGGAGAGAGAGAGAAAAAAAGAGGAAATAATTAATAAAGGAAATGTAGGAATAATGACAGAGAAATAGCAAATTAATGACAAAAAAAAAAGAAACAAATGGAGGAAGAGAAGAAATAGGAAAGAAGATGAGAGTAAAAAGAATGAGGTAAACAAGGAAGAGAAGGAGGGTGAAGGCAAGCAGAAAGAATTCTAAAAAATGAAGAGATGGAAAAAATTAAAAAGTACAAATAGAGGAAAAATAAGCAAAGGATGAGGTTAGTAAAGATTTACGATAAAAAGGATGACTTTTATTGATGATAATGCAAAATTTTAAATGATGGTTACAATGATGATTCAAAACATTTTAAATTGTTTTCTAATAACATTTAGATTAGAGTAATTTAAATACTCAAACAATTCAAGACCACCACTAATGTTTTTTTCTCCAAAAGCTTTCATGATGTTCACATGTGAGCAATAGAGACCGCTGTCGCTTCTTTAATCCCATTTACCCTACTATCACTTGATATCAACCTGACTTCAAATGGTGTATTTACTTAGCTGTAGCTTCAAGTGGACAGCTTTTTAATACTTAGTATACAATTTCATACTCTACAGTTAACTAACGAATATTCATAGAACATGAATATGCATGACCATACATTTCTCTATTCTATGGAACATCTGCATTAAAAACATTATCCAGTTATTTACACATGTTAGTCCATATATGCATCTTTTCTGCATAAATTATGGAAATAGAGTCATCATGTTTATGCCTAGCTAAAATAAAACATGAGCTTTACATTCTGTGATGGGCTGATGTAACAAAACAACTTCATTTACATTCGGATAGGCTTCAGTGGACATTTTTAATATGTACGCGCAACTGCTGCGTTATACGTATTCCTGTGAGAAAGCCACTCTGTCGTAATTTGATACGTACCACAACAGGTTTGATGAGTGTAACAAACGTGCAATAGCGACTTCTTTCCTCCACCAGACAGTTGCGTACAGCTGCCTTCTCGGTTTCCTCTAGTAGTAGGTATTTATCCGTTACTTCTTGCAGTGCACTGTCCAATCTGTATTGTACGTCCATTTTACCTATGGAGCAAGTCAGAAAAATGTTTACATTTCATCATATATATTTACATTGGGTTGTTTTTTAAATATTTATTTAAAATTTGACTACTTCAAATAATACATACGCCAACATTTTTATTTCATTTATTAAATTACTGGTCGTTATTTCAATATTTTGAATATTTATTGACCTTAATAATCGTTTTGAGTAGTACCATATGGCAGATAAATGATAGTATACTTTTGTAAGTTTTGATTTTATACATTTTGCATTCGTTAAATATATATCCCGAATAATATTGCAACAATATATATAAAAAAATTTATTGAGAGGAAAAAACTGACAGCAAATGTTATTTCAATCAGGTTAATATAAATATTTTAGATTAGTGTTTCTAAATAATTAATTTTGAAACTGGAGAATATACATATTAGCCAGATGCAGTTCTTCCACAGATGGCCCAATATGCTTTAGTAGCTCTCATTATGAATATGAGACTTAAGGATTGGAGTTATTCAACAGAAAATACTGCTACAGCATGTGTAAAATTTGAACTTAGGACTGTGGTTTTGGAAAGCAAGTACATTAGCTACCAGGTTATAGCACTGTTCCAGTTTTGTATGATAAAACATATCTCACAATAGCTCTCTTTATATTTTAATACTTGTTTTAATTTCATTTTCAATGAGTATCAACTGAAACAAAAAAAAAACAAAAACTATGTGAAACTGTGCAATATTTAAAGCAAAAACTTATCGAGCTGTAAAAATTAAAAACTTATAACTTTTCTTCGAAATAAAATAAACATTGTTTAAAATCACAAACAAGTTGTAGGAACATGGAAATTGTAGAAAAAAACATTATATTTCGGACATGTTTGGTATTGTAATATTGCTAAAATCATATTTATTAGGTGGGGAGGTGAGGGATTACCAAAGTAATGTGTAATGTAGTAGGCTATATATGTATACATCATCATCACCATTATCATCAACGCTAAATGTCTTGCAACATAGCACACTCAACAATTGGAGCGATTATTAGCCAGTACAGGAGTATGGGCATAGACTGTATTTCTATTGTAGAGTCCCTCACCTTCCAACAAGCAAAGGGAATTGAAGATGATAGGCAACTTTCTGCTTGAGTGGAAAATGCAGACACTACTAGTGTGCACGTAGCTTCGGGATCCCCACTGTGACACAGTACCACAAGTTCTCTCCCATGCAAACATCCACCCTTTCCCCCACACACACAAGGTCAGGTGAATGATGACTATGCCAAGATAATAACTCTGCTATGATGAACTATATTTACTGTACAAAAATATAGTTAATGGAGATGAATGGTACTAAAAAAAAAATGTCATATGTTTGAAATGATAATGTATGTGCACATAATACAAACGAAATTCTTTCAGGAGGAAAAAAAAAATCAGATATCATGACATACATAAAACAGATATGACTGTTTAAAACATGGATCAAAATTATGGTTGAACCATGTGTTTGAACATGCACAAGGTCGTAAACGAGCAACATGACAAACAGAAAATTTTAATTCTGCTTCCGTTATAACATGCATTTCCCACCCCACCCCTCCTTCTGTAAATGACAATTTACCTCCAAATTCATTTGAAGTGAGAACTTAGTAAGTTTTAGTCATGACAACACGTTTTGGTCTTTCAGGAGATTTGAACAAAAACACCTTGTAATTTAATGGAACCACAATCTACAGTGCCACTAATTTACAAAAAAAAAATATATAGTCTGGAATGAATAATTTGCTCACACTTGGCAATTTATTAACCTTTGCTGAATACGATATGCAGAGAATATAAGTTGTAAAAAAAATGAAATGGTATTGTAATCAAATTCATGTTGGCAATTGCACAAATTATGAAGAAGCAAAAAAGTCCTTTTTTTAAAATAAATAAATAATGGTAAACATAAAATGGCCACAGAGCACAGATTCTGTTATAATATCTAAAACAAGATTTTTTTTTTATCATGCAGTGTAATATCAAAACTTGTAGTATATTCATTTTGATACATACTTAAAACTTCATTGTTAATCTTGACATCCTCTTTGTCTGCTGCGTTTGTTCAGAGTGAACAAAGGAGTTAAAGAACAGATTATGAGAACACAAATTTGGAATTAATTTTTGAAGACATTATCTGTAAAATCTGAAAACCTCTCAAATACCACTCGATTAAAACATGAAATTACTCATTAAAAAGGATAAAAAGTCATGAATTTCCAGACAGAATTGAAATGTATGAGATTATTGATTAAACTATACTAGTTTTATTAGGATAGGATTATTCTATACTACTGTATTATGGGATTTCCCTGTACTATTGCATGGGATCCCATACTAATGTGGATTATCCTACACTAATGGATGGGATTATACTTGATACTAATGCATGGGATTATCCTGCACTAATGCATATCTATTCCTATACTATTGAATGGGTTACCCTATACTTATGGATGGGATTATCCTATACTAATCGATGGGGGTTATCATTTACTATTGCATGGGATTCTTCTGTACTATTTTGAATGTGGTTATCCTGTACTATTTACATGGGGTTTCCTGTACTATTGCATGAGATTATACTATAATAATGCATGGAATTATCCTGTACTAAAGCAGGAAATTATCTTATATTAATGCATGGGATTATCCTATACTAATGCATGAGGATATCCAGTACAGCTAATACATGGGAATACCATGTACTAATGTATGAGGTTATCCTTGCTTGGATATTATTATCCTAAAATATGGGGTTATCCTTTAACAATGCATAGGTCATCCTGCACTAATGATGTAATGCGGAAAACCTGGAACAATTCCAGATATCTAACTGTCACAAGCAATACAAATTAATCAGTTTCCTACTCCCAAGTATTTATCCTTCTAAAAATATTCCATAGATTTCAAGGTAATTCAGTATATCTCAAAATATTTAAATAAATAATACAAATATTATGCAGGTTAGAATTATAGATGTACTGTATGAACTGTATGGTGGAAAAAACCCTAAGGGCCTGTTTCTGCTGAGAATAGAATTCTGGATTCAGGACCAGTATCCTCAAAGATCCGTATTTTCTTGTCAGTGGAAATGGGTCCCCTCAAAATAACCTGAATTCAAAGACCAGTTTCAAAAAACCCCAATTGAATCAGTCTCGATTGCCAAATACCGTACTCAAACCTGTATTCGTGGAGCAATTTTTAGCTGCAACGCAATAGTGGTCTCAAGTTGACCTGACCTATCTAGCTGTCAAGACATAACCACTCTCTGCATGCTTGGCGCGAATAGTCTGTACTTCTACCTCCTTGTTGTAGCAAACGTAATGC